TGAAAGCGAGTTCGCTTTTTGGATTCTTGATTAGGAAAATGTTTCTCAGAACAGAAACGTGAAAAGGGACTCGTTAAGAGCTCGAGAAGACTTTTGCCCGTATTTCGAGCTCTCTTTTATCAATAAAAGTGGCTAATAAGCTTTCTGATTGGTTGCGCAAGTCACTTTCGGAGGCGTTTTTTATCGATAAAAGAGGCCCTTATCCCAGATAGCGCACATAGTTCTATGAATATCCTTCTGGAGTGCGCGAATATTCTGAATTTCAGAATATTCCAATCGAGCATTCAATAAATGTATATAGATTACTACAATTAGAAATCGTATATTCATAACAAAGAAGAACCCGAGCGTAAATTCGCGATCTACCGTCCGCACTTGCTCGCGCCGAGAAAAATTTCGCGAGTTCAGCGTTCAGCCAGCAATTACATAACCGGTCGCGTCGCACGTCCAAAGATCGCTGCACTTTCCCGCTGTCCCTCCTTTCTCTCTCTCTCTCTCTTTCTCTCCAATGTCCCTGCCTGCACTCTTGCGTCTCGTTTCAGGCGCGGACGGCAGTGGCGGGGCAGGCGCGGGTGAAAAGTGCCGACCTCGTGCATTCCGCGCCCCATTGACCGGGAAATTTGACCGTGCTCCTGTTAAGTTAATCGGGGCCGTCCACCAGAGGCTACCGTGAGAAGGGTAAGTGTCGCGGAGAATCTGCGAGCGACAAATGAAACGGAGAGAAGAATAGAATAGCTTGCAAAAAAACGTCGTCCCCGCAGTCGAACGAATAACCGAGCCGCGGGAGGACGGACAGTCGTAGACGACACGACGTTCGGCGAGCGGCCGAGCGAATGCGATCGGCGAGCGGTGCGAGGCGAGACGCGAACGACAGACCCGCGGCACCGGGAACGCGGGTGGACCATGGCGCGCGAGGACGACTCGTCGCTCCTTGGGCGGCTGCAGATCCTGATGGAGGACGAGATGGGCCCGGGAAGGGTATGCGACGTTCTCCTAACCTTTCCGCCCGCGTCCGCTCCTCGCTCAGCTTCTCCTTCTCTTTTTCAGCTCATCACCTACGGAATCGCCAGCGCTGGCCTGCTCGCGGCCCTGTACAAAATTAGACCCGTGAGTTGCGAGGCGTTTGTCCGCCTGCTGTCTTCGCCGGGAACCTCACGTTGGCGATCGGTTCTCATTCTACCTCCGTTGTTCTTTCAGTTCGCCAAGTTCACGAAACCGTCCGACGTCCCGCTGCACTTCGTGCGGTCGCAAGTCCCGCTCCAGGGGACCGTGCGACGCGTGGAACCGAGCTCCGCCAGGGTTCTACTGCTGGTCGACCACCGGCCCTTGCTGCCGCTTCCCCGTTTCAACGAGGCCTACCTGCCCGTGAAGATCGGCGGCGTGGATATTACCGGCAACGGTAGGTACCGAGCCACGGGGTCGGCGGGGCAGTTGCCTAAAACTCGGGTCGATCTTGCAGGTGTGAGTTGGCTGCAAACCGTGCTGAGTGGAAAGCGCATCACGTTCCTGCCCATCGTCAGGGAGAAGGAGTACTTGGAATGCGTGGTAACGATGCCGGAAAAGGATCGGGTAAGAAATGCAGAGATTATGCCCGCGTCGTTATCAAGTACTTGCTCATACATTGTTCTCACAAAAACAGAACTCGTTGGAGATCGGCGAGGAGCTAGTCAAATTAGGCCTAGCTACGGTGCACGAGCCTTGGACGAAGCTGAAAGACAAGCACGTTGTAGCGTACAAAAATTCTTTAGCGAACGCGCAAAAGTGGGCGGTGCGTAGGAGAAACGGATATTGGCACTTCGTCAAGCAGCCGACGGTCTTATGGAAAGTACAAATGTTCGCGATTGATAGAATGAAGTCGTTGTTGCCTGCTGTCGTAGTAAGACGGCTTGATCTGTAGGTGCTCGCCTTGTTTTAGCGATAAACTTCCAGAGTGATATATTTTTGATAGTATAAGAGAGAGAATGTGTATATTGTGTAGTTAAGTACTTAAGGACTTTTTAATAAAAGCTATGTTCCTAATTTTGAGTTTGTTTCATGAGCCAACAGTCGCGTGAATGTTTAGTTAAAAAGCAGTTTATGAATCCCAGAGATATCGAGTCTCTTGGCTTGAACGCTCCAGATATCTTTCAGCTTAGTCGACACAAGATTCATATTTCAGTGAGTGGAGGATCTTCGTAAAGTGCCAGACAGGTAATAACTATCGAAAAAGTCAATTTTATTTTGTTTAGCTGCCAAACTGTACAATTCTTATAATTATCTTATACATCGCATCTGACACCATATAACAAAGTTATTATTTATAATCGACAGTCAACTTAACAAGAACATTTATATATCAATTCTTTAATTACCTACGATATATATCGGTACGGTACGTTATACATTCTCATTTTAGGATTTATTTCATCTCACTTGTCGAAGTTTGTGTAAATTATATTTTAATATTCATAACAATTACAATCATTAGGGTTATTATCCGTATTAAAGAATCACATAATATAAAAACTAGATTTACGAAAAATTGTTCATGAATTCTGCATGAATGTCTTAGCATTTGATATACGCTTGCACACTTGCCCCGAGAGCCAGTACAAAGATAGAGCGATAGTATTCAAACTTGCAAAACTAAGAGTAACAATTTTCGTTCGTGTCAGTCGGGTTTCGATACAAGTAGGATATAAAGTATAAAAATCAGAATATATATATATACTATATAAATGAAAAACGTATAATAAAATTTGCAAAAACGACCTTTTAACTTAATATATTTTCTATATTTTATATCTTTTTATATAATATATTTTCTATATTTAAAAAAATCAAATCAAAAAACGTGATTTTATACAAATAAATTAGTTTTCAAAAACAATCAAGGAGATTACTATAATAATCTTTCATCTTCTCTTAATTTTAAGCTTCTATAACTTCCTATGTTGCATAAAAAGAAGATAACAAAAATTTATTAAAATTTGAATGAAAATGTAACATTTTGATTGTGAAAAATAAAAATAACTTTTATATCTTACATGCAACCTCCATGACAAACTTGAAATACTATTTTCTATTATTCATGTAGAATATTACAGTTCTTAAATCATGTCTTGAACCACTGTTGAGATACGTTGAATAATTTAGATTGCAATGCATAGTTAAGTTATGCTAATTAAACACGAAAAAATATTTAAAAAATAGTCTTGATTTGCGCGAAAGTAAAACCTTGCATGAAGTTCTTTCTACATTTTCAACTTTTTTCATGTAGGACTTTACCTTTTGCAATCATAGCACCTCTAATAAATCACACAACTTGTATATGTATTTGTATAACTTGTATATGACTTTAAAGTCATATACATCAATGGATATAACAACGTGAGTATAAAGCAAACTAATGAGAAATCGATATTCTAATCTATATATCCTCAACCTGTCGCTTTTAATGGAATGAAAAAATGGAGTGTACCGTTCAACAAGTGTTGGTGGTATCACAAGTGTATCATAGTTTAATTGCTTTTTTATTATAGATCGTCTCTCGGACGGTTTGTTTCCCGTTTGGCTTTCTCTGGTTGTGATTTCTGCGCAGTTTGTTTCACAGAAGCACCCTGCTCCACCTTTACATTCTTTCCGGATTGTGTCTTTCCAGCATCGTCACCTACTGTTTTTGCATTGTCCTTCTTGGCTTCCGATGATTTCACACTGCCACTGCCTGCAGTGTCCGTCTTAGGAGCTGGAGATGGCTTTGGCGCAGCGGTCGGCTTGGGTGTTGTAGGAGCAGTGGTTGGCTTAGGTGTCGTCGTAGGAGCAGCGGTTGGCTTGGGCGTCGTTGTAGGAATGGCAGTTGGTTTTGTTGTCGTAGAATCCGTACTTCGTTTCACTCTTTCCGTCTTCACACCTGAAGTATCCGGCGATTGTTTCTCGTACCTTACACGCGAGGATTGTTGCGCACTGTCAGCTAGGTCAGGGAAAGCCTGTTTTAACGGGACTCTCGACAGATAGTTTAGCCACGGGGAACCAAACCATAAGAAGCCATTGTGTATCTGAGCTTCAGACATTCGCTGGTATGATCCATCATCCCCAGAAAGGACTTCAATAATGTTACCAGATGCATCTAGTCTGAACAACAGACTTTTCTGTCGTGAATCTATGAGACCCTCACAGCCTTGGAACGATCCTATCGCATGCATAAGTCTCTCCGAATATGTATTAGGATAAATGTCGTGCAACAATTTAAATGGTAGTTCCATCAGCACCAACAACCGTGCAATCAATTTTCTTAAGTTTGGATGTGGCATGAAAGAGTGGACAAGATTAGGATGCTCAGAGTCTTTAGTAATAACCAAAGACACGAGAAAACCACCTTGACCATCACTTTTAATGTTGTCCGGTGAACCCGGTAAACCGTCAATAAAGACTTCATGCTGACCAGCCTTCGGCCCTTTCAAATTATATCTTATGATACGACTCATTTGTGTTTCCGCCACAATTAGGAAACTTTCGTCGTCGCTCAACTTGAGCCCATTCGCGAATCCTAGATTTCGAACCAGTACCTCGTTTTTCTTTTTAGCTGCATCATAGCGTATAAGCCTGTAATTAATATATTTTTTTTATACAGATATAATACACTATATTAAAACTATTTCTAAAACTCCTTATCTTTTTTTTTACCTTCCCGATGGATTCGCTAAGAATGTTAACACTAAGTCGTAAAGCCTGAAGTCTGTGCTGCTATCAGTCCAATAAAGATCTCCATTTTCCGCGATATCTATGCTATTGGGTAACAGCGGAGGTTTCCCATCAATCGGTTTAGAAATGTTCACTATATTTTTGTAATCTCCGGTCGCAACGTTCACCTTGAAAACCCCATAATAGGCATCCATCACGTACAAATTACCCTTCTTATCGAACTTCATTCCCAGTGGCCTGCCACACTTGCGCTCTTGCCAAATGCCATCTGTAAGTTTGATGAATAAAAACATTATCAGCGTTATCACTTCGGTATTAATTGGTTGTATTAATTACACCGAAATTATTTAATTTCTTAACTCTATATATTATGATTTTAAATGCATAAAATTTGTGCAGATATGTAATATGATCCGTGGGCTATGGTCCACTAACTGCGGTTTACTTTGAAGCGTACTTTCTTTTAATGAAGAAAAACAGGGAATCAGAACGCTTTGTAGCATCAAGTGGAACGCATCCATTGATATTATACGTTATAACGTGTTCAGCATTCGGTCATTCCACCAGTATCATATTACAACGGTGATTGTTATCTAATGTCCAACTAAATTGCTAAACAGACAAAAGGTCCATCCCTTTCGCATTACGCTGTATATATGCGTACGCTTTTTAAAGATTTGAAATAAGAGAAAGAGTATAAAACATTAAAAAATAAAATGAAAGATAATGTAACAAGATTTTAGAGTTCAATGCTACGTTCAGCTAAAGAGTATTCAACCAATCTTTCCACATATGTGAATGCATGGAACTAATTCCTCTCCCTAAGTGTAATCAGGTGCCCGTGCGCGGGCAACGGTGAAGACGCCAATAATATTAATTTCAACTTTTGCTCTCCCAAGAAATCAACAACGCGGATGTACACATTCCAGATATGTATGTATTTCTGAAACGGCATTTCTTTCTTACTTTTAAAACAAAGAGTAAACCAATAACCAAATCATGTACACTAATGCCGAGTGGGCATTACTTCATCCTATTATCTTGTTTTATCTCATTTATCTTGTTTTATCTTGTTTTACCTTTACATATTATTTTGTGGAATAATAATTATGTTAAATTTCAAAATAATTTGTTCATCACATTTTTCTACGTGCAAACTTCATTTCAAGAACAATTCTTGGTTCATTAAGTCTTGTGTCAATTTATAGTAATGTTTCATTACTATACTCGTATATTTGCAAAGTTTTCAAAGAAGTTGAGAAATAGTGTAGAAATTGATTTTTACAACCTTGAATGCTATTGCATCGTTCTAGCTTATTTCCAGTTTGCATACACTTCCGACACATGACATGTAAAGATCATAGAAGCAAAGTTCAATTAAATCTAAATAATCTATCAATGAACACTAACAATAAGCAATGCTGATTATAAGTGGTATTATGCAATATATAAATAGCTATGTAAAAAAACAAATAATTTTCCTAGTCGCCAGTAATTAAATAACAGACAAATAATATTAATTTGACCACAACGGGCGACATTTAATTCGATAAACTTATTGCGAAAAATATAAACTTCAGAGCTTGAACCTTTCTCATACCATGACGCGCATCTCAACCAATTTGACTATTGATCCTGGTTTTCACCGTCATTTAATTTTGACCTCAGTTTAATTCGTCCTGTGTTTCTATCTGTCCCCGCAGAAAGAAATAAAGAACGGATCAAAGTTAAACGAGACGTTGGTGAATACCGAGATGACGCATGAGGTAATATTTATCGCAATAAACACTTTCCTAATATTTTTCCGTTTGTGCCCGACTTAAAACCGTGACTCGGATTAGCAATCTTCCAAACAGCCGATACACAAATCATTAATACATGTTAATCTCTCAATAACATCGTTTTTCCTTATGTAAGAAAGTTATCTTCGAAACTTATCTCTGCGTCTGCGCAACTCGCAATAAAACTTATCGTTTTACTTGGAAAATACCCAACATTAAAAATTTACCAGCCATGTATCAGCACCGATAGCTTATCTATACACACCTACTCGTTTCTTCGTGGACTAATTATAAATTTAACTAAGAAAAAATCTACTTATCGGCCAAGCATTAAGTGCTTCGTTCTGTTTCTACTCCTGTAACTTTATGCTATATCTCTTCGTTAAAATTCGCAATACCCATCCACGTATCGCCAGGCGTATTCCAATGAGTCTTGCGTAATTCCAGCTGGCACGGGCAATTCTCAAACGTCTCTACACACCCACACAACTATATCACGAGACACGGTAAGTGTCTCGCGCCAGGTGTAAGGGTAGCTGGAACCGCGCGCGCGAGACCGAGACCGTGTAGTTTTACACTACGTACCACACTTCTCGCCAAATTTGACGATCGGCACAAAATGATCCTCCTCGATCCTTACGACGTATCCACCGTGGACTCCGGTGTAGAGCTGCCCGTTATAGACGTCGAAACTCTCCGGGCCGATCAGCTCGCCCACAAACAGCTTTTCGACGCCGTTCAGCCGATTCTTCGGGCCTAATTTGGGGTCGATCTTTCGCGACGGTATTACGCTGAAAGGTCCAAAAGTCAAGGTCAACCGGGGTCGTGGGATTCGCGCGCGATTATTCCTCTCCTCTCCCCTTTCAATCGCAGTTGACTTTACCTGTACTCACGGAACTCCGCGTCCGGCGGCAGACCAGGCAGGAACGTGATCACGGCCAGGATCACGCTGAGATAGATGAAGAATGTGCCGACCGGCTTCAGGTAGCTCATCTTGGCGACGCGTTCGCCGCGGGGAAAACGGCTCCTCCAAGCCCCTCGGATATCCGGGTACCCACCGCGGTCCCGTAGCTCCTCCTCGTCGAAGAGTCACGCGAAATATAATGCGAAAACACGATCTCCGTTGGTCTCGACGGAGTCTAGTCTGGTCTAGCCGAGCCCGCTGCCCACAGTCGTCAGCGCAATCGTCAGCGCCGTCGTCAGCGGGCCGGACGGTGCTGGAGAGAATTGGGACAACGCGGTGTCGCGGTGGTGGTGGTCTGCGTGCAACCTAGTAACTGTTTTTCGCGAAACGCCACGCCACTGAAAATAACGGCACCCGCGGCCACGAGCCAATGGCGCTGGCGAGCCGCCTCGCTTCCCTGTGCGTGACGAATTCCCGCCGCGCGCGATCAGCGCGCTGGAACAAGCTCAGCAGACGGTAAGTACTTGCCACCTTAACCACCGAGCCTTTTCGCGCGGAAACTCTGGTCTCCCTCTCGAGCGCGCATGCGCTCACTACCTTTCGTTCCTCTACTCTGCCGACGAGTGTCGCCACTGTCACCCGTGTTTTTCAAAACGGCCCTCGGAACCGTTTCGGTGGATCTGGTGAACGTCCGTTCTAATCCTCGAGATCCTTGTTTTTTTTTCTCCGAGAGTAGGAAAAAACGCTTTACGCGTACCATCAGACCGTCCTGGATGGTGGACTCTCCCGATAAGCAGGTGCACCAGCTGAAAACCCTCTCTTTGGACCAACCTCCGCACTATAGAGGAGTCGCCCCCGGAACCATCTACAGAGACGTTCTTCAGGAGCAATCCTCGAGATCCTTGCCGTCCGGGAATTTCGTTCGTACGTGAGCTCGCGAGCGTCGAACCGGATCTCGAATTCGTGACCAGTTTCCGTCGAGTTGACGCTTCTTCTCTCTGCAGTTTCTCAAAGTCTTTCGTGTAAGGCACTTTATTGTTACATATTTATTTATGTTTTACATTCTAACAATAATATCTGCTCCCGTTTGTTTTCTACACAGGCACGAAGATCTCAGGAACGCGACGTCGCATGTGAAGAATCGACTGTATCTGGAAATGGGTAGGTGCGCTTTATCTCCAGCCTCACTTGGACACTCCCAACCTGTGGGTCTTCACGAGTGGAAACGAAATTATTCCAATGATAAGAGTCCTAGTTTCTCTCCAGCCCACATATATCTACATATATGTATATACAGGACCACTGAAATCTTTGTAATAACTGGAGAATTGAATGCAAGTTTCATTTTTGAAAATTGCAGATACAAAGTTCTTTCGTAAAGACTCTGCGACGATCAGACCACGGAGCCAAAGGCATAACAAATATACGCAGTGTCTGGCGACAGGGATTTCGGGACAAAATTTAAAGGAATGATTCTGATAAAATAAGATGAGATTCAAGTATAACAAGTTGCGATGGAGACTGTCTTTTAGTTACAGATGAAAATTGAGTCATTGAATTTTGTTCCACCTGTTGCCAAATGTCCTACATATATATATGTAATTTTACAGTAAAGATATTTTGCTTTTAAGTGGCTTTCAAGAATAACTATCTGATCCCCCAGTTGTCACCAAGATTCTAATTTAATTTTCTTGACAAGAATAGATTGAAGCTTCTTGATCTAAACTGGAAATACGTCGTGCAGCTATTCATAATGTCGTTTATTCTGTGCTTAGGCGATCTCGAACAGCAGTGCGAGGACGCGTTGTTTGAAGTGTGCGACGCCCGGGAGAGATATCCGCTGCTGTGTGCTAAGGAACTTGGGAAATGCATCAAGCTCACCAACGAGATATGCGTAGGTGCTCCGTGCAGGATTGCTATTTAACATTTCTGCTCACCTGTGTTCATCACTGGCACAATTCGTTGCAGATGGCGAGGGTTCTTGCGAAGCCAGCGAAAATTCTGAACGTGCCAGCTTTCACGGACGAACACTTGGCGATGCTTCAGGGTTTATCAGAGACCGCCGAACTGCTGAGGACGCAGGAACATAAAGTCCAAGCGATGATAGATAAAATTCATAACATGACAGCCGCGCTGGAGCAGATCAATAGGGACAAGTTGTGCGAAATAAACAAACTATTGTGGCATTAGAGGTACAATAATTTTTCCTCAATGCAATATTTATCCTTTACATATTGTACATATAATACAATTATTGTATATCATTCGTGTAAATACATATTTGAATAGAGAATTTTTTTAATTGCGAGTTTTGCATCCTAAATCTTTGTAAGTTACATATTAAACTAACAGAATTTGCATTTTATAAAATATATTCGTTGATAACATTGCGAGTGTAAACGAATTGCGTTTAAAACTTGTATTACTCCCTGATAGTTGTTGCCTTGGCAACGGCCTCGTGTCAAAACAATGCGCAGGAATGCATGCTGGTCACATGTAGTACTTACTACACTGTGAAACGAGAAATACCAAGCTAGCTGTTGAAGTAGTGCATTTTTGCAATTCTCGCTATGTCTACGTTCATAGAAAATGTGCATATAAAGGATGGCGAATACACAAAAATAATTTACAATATGGTACACTGAGCTGCGCGTATAACCACACGCCCATATATTATGTATACATTTGAAACTTTCAATAAAATGAACCCCAACTCCGAGAATTAATTGAAAAGCTGATTGAACAGGAGAGGCAGAATAATTTCGAGATGTGTTGCGTTTTTACTTTTCTTCATCTTTAAAGACTAGTAGATATGCAATTAAATATAATATTGTGTTCCAGATAAAAGAGCAGCGATATACCGAAACTATTAAAGTCTTGTTAAATCTCTTAGACTCTCATCCCAATGTATGTATGCTGCGATGCAATATTGAGCATTTCAGTTTGCGTAAATGCTGTCAATGAAATGTTCTTTCAGTCCAGACCTTGTTTGTCCCTTCTGGCCCACTGTTACTTTTACACGCAAGACTTCTTGGCCGCGGCCCAGTGTTACGAGAAGCTCGTCCAGCTATGCCCGGAGGAGAATCTGTACAAACTCTACTACGCCCAGTCTCTGCATCAGGCTTGCATGTACCCAGAGGCATGGGCGGTCTGTTCGAGCATCATCAATCAAAGTAACTTGGAATTCAAGGTGAAGAAGCTGCAGGCAGCTATAAAATACGGGCAGGAGGACATGGTGGCTGCGAAGAATCTCGTAGATCAATGTCCCGCCGACGACGTCGATACAGAAATCAACCTGGGATGTCTCTTGTACAAGGTACAGATATCCGCGAGCAGGCTCGGTTGATAGACGTGCACGGCACGATTGTGTTTCTTCTAGGAGGAGCAGTACGAACAGGCCCTCAAGAAATTTGCAAATGCGTTGCAAATCGCGGGATTCAAGCCTCACTTGTCGTACAACGTCGCCCTTTGCTACTTCAAGCTGAAAGAGTACGCGGCATCGTTGAAACACATCGGTACAATCCTCATGTCCTTGCTGTAAACTCCATCAATGTGAATTATAAATTTGCTTGCGCATTCTCGACCGAGCTTCTCATTGACTTTCAGCTACTATTATCGAACACGGTATCAGGGAGCATCCAGAGCTGAGCGTAGGGATGGCCACCGAGGGCATCGAGGTTCGGAGCGTCGGGAATACGTTGACGCTGCACGAGACAGCGCTGACGGAGGCGTTCAATCTGAAGGCCGCCATCGAGTACCAGTTGCAAAATTGTACTCTCGCGTCGACCCCCCAATTCTGAAAAAGTCCCGGCGTTCGTTGCATCTGTACCTTAACGTTACAGACGATGCGGCGAAGGAGGCATTAACGGACATGCCGCCGCGTTCCGAGGAAGAGCTCGACGCCGTTACCCTGCACAATCAGGCGTTGATAAACATGGACACGAAGCCGAGCGAGGGATTCGAGAAGCTGCAGTTTCTGCTGCAGCAGAACCCATTCCCGCCCGAGACCTTCGCCAACTTGTTGCTCCTGTACTGCAAATACCAGTATTACGATCTCGCCGCCGATGTCTTGGCCGAGAACGTACATCTGACTTACAAATATCTGACGCCGGTAAGTTTAATTCTTACAATCGATCGTTTATTTTATTATTTACTACACAGCAGTTTGCTCGCAAACGATTATCGTCGTGCTTCGCATATTTTATGTACAAGTCACATACAGCATGGGATGCAATATTGAAAATTTTATATTAAAAAAAGAAAAGAAAGAGTTTAGAAAAAATTTATATGAAGAAAGTCGGTTAATCTGAATGCTTGGTTTTGGAGTGTTTGCATTTCTTGGTACGAGTCTCGTGATCGTCCGAGTGTTTTCGCTTGTGAGCCTTCGCGTCGCCGGACGACGAGCTGCCCGAGGAGTCGCTCGAGCCACTGTTGGATTTCTTCCTGTGCTTCTTGCGCTCTTTGGAAAACTTCTTCTTCTTCTTCTTGCTCCTCTCCTTGTCTTCCGTATCGCTGTCGTCCGCGGACTGCTTGCTCCTCTTCGACTTTCTCTTCTTCTTCTTCGACTTGTGCTTCTTCTCCACCTTCCTCGCGACGTCCTCGCCGCCCGGCTCTGGAACGCTCTCCTCCTCGACCTCCGGGAGCAGCTCGTACTTCTTGCCGTCGGGCGACATGAAGCAGTCCTTGGACAGGTGTCCCCGGGTGCCGCACTTGGCGCACGTGGTGTTCAGCACAGCCTCCAGCTGTATGACCTTGCGTTGAGCCGTCCCGGGATTCTTTCTCCGCTGCAAGTCTCTCTGCAGCTCCACGCCGTTGGGGTCCAGGTCCGTGCCGTCCCCCTGATTCACGTGCTTCATGGACAGCCCTACCTTACCGTCCTCACCCACAGAGATCACCTTACACCAGACCCGCTCACCCTTTTGCAAGACCTCTGCAACATTGTCGACATGAGCCGTGCTTACCTGACGGAAAATTGCATAGAAATCAATGGATTGCGTTACGGCGGGCGAGTATCGGTACGTTATTTAATGAGAGCGCGCTGGTACACACCTGCGTCCGGTGTATCAGGCCCTGCTGCGAGCTACCTGGTATCCTAACGAAGGCCCCGTAATTTTGCACGGACGCGACCTCGCCTAGAAATATCTGATTCAGTTCGCATCTCGTCATCTTGCCTCAATCCCTCATCCAAGTAACATCCGTATGCGACTGATGCTTCGTGTGCTTCGACAAGCGTTAAGATCGATAGGGAGAAAAATTGCGCTATAGGTTAGGTTTCTGTCAACAAATGCAGGGCCGTAATAAATCAATATGTCTGCTGGACATGTCTGCTATTGGTGCCAATACTATTCATTATTCATCAATGAATTAATAATTGAAGTTTTGATTAAAGTGTAATTCGCGTTAACATTCATTTATTTAAAAAAGTGCAATTTTTGTTGTGTAACATCGTATTTAATATTCGCAGAAAAACAATGCGTGACAAAAACGCGATGCGACGGAAACGTTGACGTTTGGAAACACTTCTTAAGCAAGTAGTCCCGATCGAGGGACCATTTGTAATATTCTATTTCGTGTTTGTAGAAAAACACACAGTACACTGAAAGTATAAAAAGAATTAATAAATGATAAAAATAAAGACCATTTTGGAAAGAGATTTCCCTAGTAAAAATTTTTTTAATATAATTAAAAAATTTTTTCAGTAATTATATATTTTGTTAGAAATTTAATTTTATAAAACTTGAAAAGGTTTACGATATTTTTTCCAGAAATTGTAGAATGAGAATTAGAATATTTGAGAATATTCACATGTATGAAAAAATTCTAACAAGAAAGTAGGTAGACTTTCTAAAATCAGTCAATTCGTATAAAAATTCTGAGAAAGATGTTCACCAGGGTATTAAGCGCAAACAATATCAATTAAAGGGAGACTTACATACATATATACTTGTTAACAGAATTAGACTGATTCGTATTATTTTTCTTTTCAGTATTTATACGATTTCTTGGACGCGCTAATAACACAGCAAACCTCGCCGGAGGAGGCGTATCGCAAGTTCGACGACCTCGCTAATAAGCACACGGAAGCGCTTCGCAAGGCGACCAAGCAGGTCCAGGAGGCGAGGCTTAATCACGACGACAATGCCGTGAAGAAGGCCGTGACCGATTACGAGGAGGCTCTCGATCGATACGTTCCCGTGTTAATGGCACAGGCGAAGATCTATTGGGACTTGGAGAATTATACCCAGGTGGAGAAGATCTTCAAGAAGAGCGTCGAGTTCTGCAACGAGAACGACGTGTGGAAGTTGAACGTCGCACACACGCTGTTCATGCAGGAGAGCAAGTTCAAGGACGCGACGCGTTTCTACGAACCGATCGTCAAGAAGAAATATGACAACGTTAGTACGAAGCGAAGCTCATTTTCCCTCGTTCTTCCGTTTCCCCCTTCTCTCTACCTTCGTCTTCTGACGGCGATTTTTCGCAGATCCTGGACGTGAGCGCTATAGTCCTCGCGAACCTCTGCGTCAGCTACATCATGACCTCGCAGAACGCGGAGGCCGAGGAGCTGATGAAGAAGATCGAGAAGGAGGAGGAGGCGGTATCGTTCGAGGATCAGGACAAGAAGCTCTTCCACCTGTGCATCGTGAATCTGGTGATCGGGACGCTCTACTGCTCCAAGGGTAACTACGAGTTCGGCATATCGCGGGTGATGAAGAGCCTCGAGCCGTACAACAAGAAGCTCGGCACCGACACCTGGTTCTACGCGAAGAGATGCTTCCTGTCGCTCCTGGAGCAACTGGCGAAGCAGCTGGTGGTCCTGAAGGACTCCACTTTACAGGAGTGCATTCAATTTTTGGAGCACTGCGAAGGTACATAATCTTTCCAGAGACTCCAAAAGAAATTCGCTTTTATGTCAACGATTCTGAGTTCTTTTTTTGGATATAAAAAGAATTCAGAATCACAACTTTAATTTCCGTAAGAGGGTCAATTCTGTATCTCACAGTAAAAATGCTAAAAGCGAGTAGTTTCGTCTCTTACTAACCGTCCTATTAGAAAGAGACAAAGCCGCTCACTTTTAACATTTTCATTATATTGTAAGATACGGAATTGCCCCCAAGAAGTCAAAAGGCATATTTCTGTTCTTTTTGACCGGGAAAGAAATTCTTTTGAATTCATTTTGAACAGATTGCACTGATTCATGAAGAATTCAACGAAGTGAATCCTTTTTGAGTTTATAACAATCACCCGTGCTACTTAGGTCAATCAGGCTCTATCTTACTCGGCGATTAACTTATGAGGCGATATCTGCGGTACTTCGTTAACACGGATGGAATTATTGACTTCTTGTTGCTCGACGTATCGAGGATTATATTAAAAATTCAACCGGGATAAATTAATCGTCGATCAAGTTAGCCGGAGCTTGGTCGCCCTCGGCGGGATTCGGGTCGATGGTTTTTTAAATAAACATTGGTCGTTTCGAAAAAGTATATCGTTGATTTTATATTACTGGCAACAATGAGATAGACTTGTACTCGTGTGTTTCTCTCTGAAATTCCAGTTTACGGGAAAGACATAATGACGGTGATAGACCAGCCGTTTGACATACAGGACATGCTGAACGTCTCACCTCAGGGCAAACGGACGGTCGTTTACGAGGCGCGATTCCTCAAGGCATTATTCTTGAAGTTGCAAATGTCTTAGCTGCGTAAAGAAAGAATGCTAATTATGCCGTTGTACATTTTGTACTCGCAAGATATCTTGTGACCGTCCTGTTTATTGTTAGCATAGCGCCGAATTATATTAGTTAACACTTAATGATACAATTGATTATAAATTTAATGCAATTTATCCCAGGCTTATTACAAGTTTTTCTTCCGAATAATATATCATAAATATACTTCTTCTTACTCGTGTATTAGGCTTAAAGCCTGTTGTATCATTTGGTTCTACTTCATCTTCGGTTGGCTGCTAACTTTGCCGAAGAAAACCTTCAACCTGGAGGGCTACGTGTGGCAAGATACTCTGAAAGGGAAGTATCTTGTGTGGTAATCGTATGATTTAATATAATTTCAACACACATATCTCTGGGCCAAAAAATCTGAATGAAGGCGCCAAAAGAGACGGAATCGTGCAATTATTCTATAAAAAATATTTACAATTTTCCGCTTTAGCTTATTGGCAAATATAGCTTAGATTATACCTTGATCATTCTACATATTTTTCGTAATTCGACTTTGTAGTTTCATAATTTGGCTACTTGTATCTCGAACTAGACTTTGGTTCGCGCGGCCGATCTACGCTACAGCCATCTATACGGTAAGTCACTTACAAGTGCTGTCGGTAACTCGTCTTGGAGGGTAAAAGGCTGCAGGGCTCACGCACTAAAACTCACCCTGTACAGTCAAAGTGAGCGAGCCGGGTGTCAAGAACAGGATCAAGAAGAAGAGCCGTGGCGTGAAACGAAGCTGGCTTTCTCTCGTCACGAGTTTTCGAGAACGACGCCGATCTCTCCCCGCGGATAACTAATATGTTCGAGAGGAAATTACGGGCTCTCGGCTACTTGGAGTGGGACAAAGTCAACGGAAACAGTGAGCGAGCATAACCTATACGCGACGTCGAGGGTATATTACACGGACTCGTTAACGGACTCTGAGGACATTTATATAAAGATTTACGTTGTTTAAGCTGCGAGGTTGAGTAACATTTCGTGCCGCATAATCCTTGGGCGGGCACTCGCATGTCACTGGCTATGAAAGTAAAGTCTGATCTACGTGCTCTTTGCGTCTAGAAACGTTCTATTTTGTAGCCAATACGTCTAACACCATACAACATTAATTCATCAATTGCAAAAATTCTTATATATATATTTTTTTGTTTTATTTGCAAAGTGCACAAGAAACTTCTTAAGAACTGTAATGATATTGTGTCATTTCAGACCCTCAGCATCTCAGAAAGGTGATTGTATGGTTGGAAGATCAGAAGATACGTCATTATACCATAGACGATCGCAACAGATTGAGGGACATTACCTCTCAGGAATGGCCAAGCATCTTCGAAAAGTACTGTAACGACGTCAAGTGTCCGATAACTAAGAACGAGCTCGATCAGCTGGAGTGGTTCATAGGACACGCAATTTCTCTAGAGTTTGGTGATGACCGTAAGTACGTTTTATTGAAAGCAATATGGAAATAGAGCTCCAGAAGGCGTCTTTACGACAAACTGTGAATACAAGCTTTATAAAGTTCGATTGATCGTTAAGTTTTATTATTATTTCAATCAAACCGAATATTAATCGAATATGTCATTTACTTCATTAGACGAGAAATATCAGCGGGTTGTAGGGAGTAAGGCGAAGGACAAGAAGGAAGTACAAGTGCCTAGTATCAAGTCCACGAATCCTCTGGACAATTTAAATTGTAAGTACATGTCGCGCCGTGCGATACCGAACGCGGGGAGAACAGGTTGTACGCGAGAACGTAATCTAAGTCGTGCACCTTTTTTCTTCCAGTTGACAGTGATGCTTTCAAGAACGGAGTTAATTTAATAGCCAGGTTACTGAACGTACCGAAGCACTCTGATCATCTCATAACGCTACAGGCGTGCAGCAAACTCGTGTGTAACAAGTTGAACGCGGACGCCATCAAGCAACCTAACAACGCCATCAATTCCAAGGGTAAATCCCAGACGAAGGTTATAGGGCCTGGCTTTAACATGGGCGACGCGATGTTGGACGATGCTGCCAAAGGTCTCTCTTTGTTGTACATTCAAGATCTCAGGAATCTCCAGACGAAGATCAATGAAACGATAGTCGCTGTGCAAAATGTAACGGCAAATCCGAAAACGGACACCAAATTAGGAAAAGTTGGCAAATAGAATGGCGGTTCGTTAACATTTTGTATTGCAAAAAGTATTTGATACCTTAAAGGAGGAATATAGACTATCATATTAGCAGAAAATTTGATGTCGCGCACGCGTCTCGAAGCAATCTCAAATTGAGAACGTTTGCACTATAAAACGAGATATTCCTGGAATTTAAGTGTTAATATATTATTACTTCGTGCCAAATCTGCGGATACATTTCGATTTTGCCAGCAAACGCAGTGTAACATTTGTTTCTCTCTTGTACAAAATCGGTATATTATTTAAGTATGGTCTTGCTAGTGTAATGAAAAATACTTTATATCTGCAAATAAAAATCATTAATTTATACATAAAAACTGTCGATTAGAGTAATACATTTTAATCACATCACATTAGAGTATACGAGTATCGAGCAATAAATATAAATTGAATTCCAATTCGTTTCCAATTCTTGGCGAGCATCTCAAATTATGAAAGCTACTTTGTACCAGAATTGTTTATTATCATGAATGTCCAAGTACTCTATAATGTAATTGGACTATGTTTGCGGAAAAACATTCTTTAGAAGAATAAAATAGAAATTTATTCAATATTTAGGTTGTGTACGAGCTATCTTTTAGATTGTTCGCCAAGATAAATTTGTTCCTTCGTAATTATGTGGTATTTCTATAGCCGTAATGTGATAACAACTAAACAGATGGAGCTAAAATCCTGTGAGATACATACTTAATGGAAAAATGAAAAGGACTGCCTCCCACACTAGTGAACACTTTATTGAAAAATCTATATATTGTGTATATATTCATATATATATCTGAACATTTTTATCCGATACATATCTCGTAGGATTTAAAAAAGGTTGTTGGAAAAGTGTATGTTATTGGTCGCATAATTGTTACAACGTAATTTTATACAACACACCTGAACAGAAAACAAATTACGAATTATACGTAATAACAATAAATGAGCTTCTTGTAAATGCGTATACGTCCATCCGTCTGTGAAATTATCTGTTCGTAATTTCCCTGCGTTTATAATATACTTCAAATTTATTTATATAGTATCGGAATCCATTAAATATAAATTACTGTAATATGTATGAGAAGATACGCACGTGGATATACGTGTATATAGGAATGTATAATAAACCACCTCTTTCACATACTCAAAACGTTTCAGAGACACTGAAAGGCGGTATGTTTATTTTAGATTTAAAGAAAAGTACTTTGCTAGCAGGTATAAGTAAAAAATAATTTATTAGAAATATTTAAAGAAGATTCGCCATCTAAAATATAATAACTACAGGAAGATAGTACTTCTTTTTTTATGTTTTCCAGTAGCTCTGTCACGTCATAGGCGAGTATAATATATAACAGTACTGACAAATCTTTCAAAATAGTAGAAAGCGTATTTCTATTTACATATTATCGAGAATTGTATTATTTTCAAGTCCAATATTAAAAGTATATTGTTCATGAAATGTACATACGTAGTGGCAAGCATAAAGCATACATCTGCTATTGACTATATTCATTAATTGTCAATGCATTCGTACATGTTGTAGACATTTGACAATATATTGTAGTTCTGCTTATTGTAATTATTTTAAAAACTTCATGCCTCGTGTAAGTAAGTTCTCATCCCTTTTACCAAAAAAAGATGCCTATTCTACACTTCCAAAGGAATGAAGTATAATTGGTAAATAAAGGGGAACTGATTGCGAGTGTATTGTAAAATTATATATATTTATAAAAATATGATAGTTATCACAGAATTTATTAATATCAGTTTTGTCAATGCAGCATCTCGAGTATAAAGTCTATATTGTTTACTCACTTTGGTGATATTATCTGAAGTTTTAATAAGAAGCCTGTGACGCGACTGTGATATGTTGAAACGTGATTTTTATTCTGAAAGTCTTGCTTAAATTGCAATATGAACACGCCTAGATATCGTACAATATATATGTCGATTTCCTCTTGCAATCACAGTTTTTGATATTGCACTAAAATCAATATCTATTTTATATATTATTTGTTAAAATCCCATTGTGATAGGAAATACATAATGTTAATTATACTCCCTTGTACACGCGGTATTATAAATTAATAACAGACGATTTAACGTCCTGTTGAAAACGATATTTAATCCATAGGTGTGTGTGATCTTTGTATGAAAATTTCGTATGAAAATCTACACGCGCAGTTTACCGTCCGACAGCAGCAAGTTGATTGCGAATATTAATAAGCACGAGTTAAAATAACTTCTATGTTTCCTTTTTATCGTTAAAGTGAAGAGATTTCACGCAAGTGCGTAATTTTAATGTAGATTATGCTTCGTCTACTAAGGCACTCTATATACTGAAGCTTTGTCGTGTAGTATATTATCAGAATTGTTTTATTTTCGGCAGAATATGTTTCCTGGTGTTGTAAGCCAGAGTTTATAATGAAATATATAAGACAATCCACATTTATGAAGGAAATATCGAGTTAATTTGTACTTGCAACTTAACATAAAATCTTATCTAATAAATAACTTTTTTTTTGTTTTGAGACAAATGCTATATATAATTTTGCTTAGGAATCCCATAAGATGCTGTAGTAGTGTGCTTAATTACGTGAGCAATTTTTATATTTAATTAAATACGGCTTAATTTCTATACGTATGACGTAATAGCAGGGTTATAGGTATAACAGCGGTTATATCTATAACAATATATAACAGATAAAAAATGGATAGGAGCGACAAATATAATACTTAAGTAACTTCCGTTGTACGTGTTGTCGAGTACGCGCATCCCTTAAGCCAGCTTGCAATTTATGATTCGCGACGATTTATTATAATCAACTGTTTCGCGATAATTTCGTGATAATTCGCGCCTCTCATCTTCGTTAAAAAATACCGCTCTGCGAGTCGAACGGTAAAACGGCGAAACGACGTCCAATCGCACCGTCGACGAGCCGCGAATCTTGAAACGCAAATTGCACGCGGGCTCGGCGCCAGCATTAAGGATCGCGATACACGCTTTCACGCCCGTGGACTCGCAGAAAGCAAGGGGGAAGCTTCGTTTTCTCTATGACGATATAAAACAACGTGTAGATAGTTACGAAAGTCTACATCTATCTCGGTTTCCAGAAGGCACTGGTTGCAACATACGCCTGCTTCTCTCCTCGTCGTCCAGGGAGGCCTGGAGGGCCCTGGCTAGAGCCTCGTCCTCGGTCATCGTCCCTTGAAGGCTGCGGAACGGGTGCGAGTTGCCGTTGCCGCTGTTCTGCGATATTGTCGTCTGGCCCTTCTTGCCCAGCGCCTCCAGCCGGCGCAGCCTCAGCGCCTCCTCCGCGCCGATGCAGGCGTGATCGGTCGGGTGCCTGTGCTTCAGGCAGAAGTTGGCGCCGCACTCGCCGCACTTGACCGGCACCATCTCCTTCACCTTGCACCCCTTCGAGGAACACTTGTTGGAGAACACCTTCCTGCGGCTCTCTCTGCAGTCGTTGTCTATGTGCAGCCCCACGGCGACGTCCGGCAGGTCGCCGCGCTTTATCGGTATAGGAACGTCGCAGAGCGGGCACACGGGCACCTGTACATCCTTCTTGTACGCGCTGGGGCAGCCGTGGGTCGTGTAAGTGATGTGATCCGTGCAAAAGATCCCCTGGCAGGCGTCGCACTTGAGAGGTAAGAAATCCAAGCGGTTGCACGTGCTCTCGGAGCAGTGCTTCCCCAGATTCGGGAATTCCATTCCGACGCCGCGCGTTCCGTGCTCTGCTAACTGCAACAATAATTTTACGGAGAATGTAGACGCGCAGCTGTGTAACCTCCGTTCAGGAGCAAAAGTTATCCGTCGATCGGCTGGAATTGCCGATCCCGTTCTCGGAGGTGGAAAATCCTGATCCAGGGTAGCGTCCGCTTTAAAAGGGATCTAGAATGAGCAAGGGCGATTTAGGGCGCCTCTCTTATCGGGACGCGCTTTCCCGTGTATTTCAAAACAATTACGCGATGCCGTCAGTCGTCCTGCTCCGTTCATTCTCCGCGCCGTCAAACGGAGCGTTTTCTCGTGTCGCGCGGATCGTAAAGGTACGCGGGGCCCAGCGTTGACGTGGACGCGCGAGAAATGGACTGTCACGATAAATTTTGCAACGATGACGTACCTTGACTCAGCCGAAATGAAAGCCTCGCGAGATCGTGGGCGCTGCCGCCCCTCCCCTATCGCCACTACCGTCACCACGCTGACGTGCGACTCTTCGGGAACGTACGCGCGGTTAATCGGGTTTCGCAGCCGTGCATTTCTAGAATACTCGATGGCAGGCAGAACACGGTACTCGACGGCGACACCGACGGCCCGACCGCTCCGCAGCCCGCTCCAACGACGTCCGCATGCACTGACAGGGTGGCCGGGCACGTGCGCCTTCCTTATATATCCTCTGGCGCCGATAGAAACCGATGACCAACGATGATCGACGATTTTCGAACCTGCACCTGCCTACACTCTCGCGGGGAGAGAGCGTAAAGCCCCGTATTATGCTCGTATCACACTAACGACTCGCGACTGCGATTACATCGGCGATTACGATTGGTTATTTCAAGTTTTAATGGCTGCCTAGCCAATCACAATCGCAGATGTAATCGCAATCGCAGTCGTGAGTCGCTAATCTGATATATCTGATTAGACTACGGATTGACATTGGGATTAGATTGAAATTTGACCAATCAGTAAAGTTCACTAATGTCAAGTTTTGTAACTTTTACTCCAATTGGTCAAAAATTTCAATCTAATCTCAATCTGTAGTCTGAATCGGGCTTAAGCCCGTATCAGACTACGGATTGGGATTGGGATTAGATTGAAATTTAACCAATTGCAGTAAAGTTTACTAATCTCAAGTTTAGTAACTTTTACTCTGATTGGTCAAATTTCAATCTTATCCCAATCTCAATCCGTAGTCTGATACGGGCTTTAAGTTTACTAATCTCAAGTTTAGTAACCTTTAAGCCCGTATGAGACTACGGATTGGGATTGGGATTAGATTGAAATTTAACCAATCACAGTAAAGTTTACTAATCTCAAGTTCAGTAACTTTTACTCTGATTGGTCAAATTTCAATCTAATCCCAATCTCAATCCGTAGTCTGATACGGGCTTTACTGTGATTGGTT